GTTAATAGAGAGGTTGAGGCAGACGTTTTAAACGTGTAAACGTGTAGGTCGGACGTTCGGCGCCGCTTTCCCGTAAGCCTAAAAGTTTGACAATGGTGTTTGGATAGTCAGTGGAATCACGCTCGACATTCCAAACACCATCGTCAAACTTTTAGGCTTACGGGAAAGCGGTGCCGAACGTCACACGTACACGTTTACACGTTTAAAACGTGCGCCTCAACCTCTAATATTTGATTTTGTCGCAGCAAAACCTGTGTAACGAGTATTTTTTTCCGCTTTCAACAGTTTTTTAACTCCAAGGAATTTTCGTGTTTAGGTGGTTCTCGTTTCCAACAGGTTTTACTGTAAACAGTAAAATCGTTTCTAAAGAAATTTCAACAACAATAATTGCGAATGATTTCGAATGTATCTTTCCTCAATGACATTAAGTCAGGACTTGTTGTATATAGAAGTAAAGAGGTAAGCTCTGTTATGAGAATAATAAAAGATTTATACAGTAAAACCGGATTGCACGGTATTTTTTCGAATATTTCGGTTTTATATCGAGAATATATCGGTTTTTTTAATAATCTTTCTGTTTAGGCAGGTTTCCGTTTTGGACACGTTTTACTGTATTTATCTCTCTCGATTAATTAAGGAGAAATAATTATCAGATTATCATTTTTGTAATAATATTGATCATTAGGTGATAGTAAAGTGCCTAAAATAGTTACAACACATACTAAAATGCAACTATTCAATACAAAACTTACCTACTTCCGTGGTCCCCCATAACAACGACGATGGCATTTTTAAAATATCCTTTTTCATTAAGGTCTTTCAATAAATTGTAAGCATCATTATCCAGTAATTGGGCTTCATTAAAGTCATTGTGTGCGATGGCGATGTAAAAAGAAAACAGAAAGTAAAGTTCTTCGCGATGCTTGATGACGAATTCTTTTATCCAATTGAAAAGAATCTGATAACTTGTAACACTTCCAAGGCAGAAATCAGAACTCATCTTTAATAAAGGAGACTGGAATAAACCTAGCCATAAAGGGCGAGGATAAAAGTCCGTGGGCTGTTTAAGAAAACCTTTAGATATATAATTGAAAAGAGTAAATTCCGGATTATCTTCAGTTAGTGCTGTTACGTACCCTGCCTTGGAATAATTCTTCCAAATAAATGGCCAATCATCAAACGGTCCCGAACAATCTTTTCCCGGGAATTCTTGCTGTGACATCCCCACTTTTCGACCAGTTAAAAATGGTACCATATTTGGAAAACTATTGTCTCCTACTTTTGTCATTCCTTTTAGAATCTGAAAATGTATACAAGTATATACATTAACGCTTTGCCATTAATTAAAAACAGTTTAAAATCAGAAATAATTAATAAAATTTTAATGATTTTCATATTCTATAGTAACAACGGGTAAAATATAGTAAAACCTGTGCAAACCGGAATCGCGCGGTACCGAATACAGTAAAATCTGTTCAAAACGGAGCCTTAAGAAAATGGAAGCCTGCCTAAACGGGAAAAAGTCTTAAGAAGGCATTTCCGTTTTGAACATGTGTTTAAAAAACCTGTTCAAAACGGAAAAAATATTCGGTACCGTGTGAGCCGGTTTACACAGGTTTTACTGTATTAGCACGTTTTGAACAGATTTTTTAAACAGAAAATCGTTTCGTTCCGAAGAATTTTCTCCGGTTAGGCACGTTTCCCTTTTATTCAGGTTCCGTTTTGGACAGGTTTTACTGTTTTATATTAATTGATAAGATACTTCACCAACTTCACCGGAAATCCTTCCTAATGCTGACAAAAATTCAGAAAAATACAAACGAATTTGAATTTTTGCAACATAAAATCTTAATTAGAAAATATATAGACAAATTAATATCCAGATATAACCTGTATTTGAAATTACATATATTCTTATAAAATAATGTTATAAATGAATATTGAGAAAACATTCCGATAAACATTCTGGAAAAATATAATGTAATTATATGATGATGTATTATTGACAGATCTTTTATTCCTTAACACTGTATTTCAAAGTTTGCTTCTATATATACCCTTACGCATGTTTATATGGGATTTCGCCACATAATCAGACATTTTCTCGCTCAATTTTGGTTTGAAAATGTTTGAACTCGGTCCAGGTCGACCAAAGGATTTAAGAGTTAATAGGGAGATGAATCGATCGGAACCTACCACCAACCATCCCTCTTATACACGAGCAACATTTTTTTTTGTGTATGTTTGGCAGTTTCATTATTGTAATACTCGGGCCAATCTATACTAATATTATAAAGAGGTAATGTATGTATGTATGTATGTATGTATGTATGTATGTTAGTTTGTATGCAGCAGGTAATCTCCGAAACTACTCATCCGATTTCAAAAATTCTTTCACCAATATTTAGAATGGAACTTCACGGTGGACATAGGCTGTATATTATTCCGTTAAAACATGGGGGATGGACAGTTCTTTACAATAAGCCTTACGGGGAAGGTTACCGTAAAGAACTCTGCTTCTATTTATACTATTTTAGATGCGGTTTTTTCCGTTTTTGATTGTGTTTTAATAGAGTACATCAACAGAATGTACACTAAGAAGGGATTTTTCGATATTCCCCCCGCGGGGGAGAGAGAAAGGATTAAGGCTTAATGTGAAAAACTTGGCTTCTATTATACTATTTTAGATGCGGGTTTTTGCGTTTTTGATTGCGTTTTAATAGGGTACAGTACATCAAGAGAGTGTACACTAAGAAAAAATTTTTCGAAAAATTTTCCCCCACGGGGGAAGTGTTATACATTTATAATAGATACATTTTGAGCCACAACAAGGCGTGGCGGGGTCTGCTAGTAAATGTATATTTTAGTTACTAAGACCATTGTTTCTATCATCTTCCAACCCAGCTTCATCAATAAATACCCCTCCCTGAAAAGCCCAAGCAACACCGGGCACGCACAGCTAGTTACTCGAATTTATGAAAACACATTAAAATAATTAACAGGCGAACCCATTTGGCAAAGTTATCAATTTATAACGAATATAATTTCAAAGAATCGTGGAACATCGTTAATACAATACACATTATGATAATGAATATAACGGCAACTTAATAATTTTACTTATTTTTGGAAAATTATATGAACCGAAAAATCGTTTAGAAAATAAATTCATATTGAAATTTATTTAAATTTCATATTTAAAACAATATATAGAAGAAACTAAGTTCGAACAGTTCTATATATTTAAAAACAAACAGAGAGGATTTTTTATCAATTAAATCATGCTACGCATCGGCAAAAATACGTAAAACAGTTAAAACATTCACTGATGATAAGAAATACCGGTAATTAAAAAGTACATAATTTCAATTAAAATGCATATTTTTTAAATCGTTTTCTAAGTTACATGCTGTTAATTTAAAGTTATTTATAAGGCTGTAAAATAGGAGTGTCAAACTTTAATATAAAGGACCATATCAGTTATAATGATATCTTAAACGGTCTATACAAGTTAGTAAATGATTTAATGTATAGGCCCTATATAATGTATACACACAGAAATTGATATTCTTAATATATAATTTCAAACAATATATCAATTACATGCAGCAACAGGGACTAATATTTTCTATACATAAAAGAAACATTAGACTCTCTCCTCTTAATCAAAACTAAGTTTTAAATAACATTTTAATTAAGCTCCACCAATGTCTGAGTGGATAAAACCAACTACCAGTGTTCAGCGGTTCGCTGTTATACACACGAAGAAAATATTGAATTCACGTGACTTCCGTTCTAGATCGAAAGTTTGTATGTAGTTAATCGGGGCCTCTTAGTCCCTAAGCTTTCCTCATCTGATCTCGACTTTCATCTATCTAATACCGTTCTCGAGATTAAGGAAGGACAGACAGACAGACAGGCAGACAGTGGAAATTTATAGGTCTACAATTTTTTCAAATTGCAGCCCAAATGTCTCAGTATTCAACTGTAGTTCACGCAGCGAAAGAGTAAACAGAAGTCAGGTGAGCTACAAGGATCTATGTTAGATAAAAGGAATGGAAGGAAACGTGAAAATTTACAAATGGATCTTATCTCTCAACTGTATTGTTTTTACGTTTTTAAAACGTTTTTGCATTACCTTTCTCGTAAATAAATATATATTTTAAAAAAGTTTTTACAGATTTTGTTAATGTGATTTATGTGTCGACTTCCATATGCCTCCCTTTCATCGGACATAGACTCTTCTAGCTCAGATTGACTCGTATCTAATCTCTCGATGCGCGGACTATGCTTTTTTTCGTGGAAAAAATTCGAGAAAATAAAATTTGCGAACAATGGACACGATAATAAATGACGGGCCTCAAGTTTAAACAGCCGTGTGGAACATTATAATTATAAAAATAGAATTTTAAAGCTATCACCTTTTAAAAATTATAACAATGAATTATGATTATCAGTCGAAATCAATTTAATTAATATTTGAGACAACCCCTTACCTCAGCTTTCATGTTATCCGTGAGATAGGAGTAGGTTTTCGGCATATTACGAATCATATTCAATCTGGACATCGATTCGATTACTAGTATGAACACCTGAGGTTTGAAGGCATTCATATTGTTATTAATTTTGATTCCCGTTTTCTTTTTAGGCACATAGGCGTGATAATTTCGATATATAAGTTTTCCTTTATAGCTGCAGTTAACAGCCACAAATTCTCTTCCTTCTAGGATCTTCTCTTCTCCATATAATACCTTTTCGGGATCGTAAACTAAATTATCATCATCAATGGAACTCCGCGCGAAAGTCGAATAACGACAGCTTAAATCATCTTCTAGATGATGACCGGCCACAGACGACTGATTTAGATGAAGTACTCCATCGTAATCTAAGTAAGTTAGATCGGGTTGAATGAATTTACATTTTAGAGGCTCTTTTACTACTACGTATTTCATAATCGATTCATCAAAAGGATCCGGCACGGGTATATCGCACGATGAAGAAGTCGACAATTGATCTTCCATAGACATAAAATGTGTATAAAAGAAACTCCATTCGATGAAATATATATAAACATTCCATAAGAATATAACACAGATTATCAATACCGCGAGCTTCAAGAAAGAGCGAGAGACAGATGATCTTACGTATCGTCGCAATATTTTATTTAAAAGCATGACGAAGAATTATCTGTATGATATTTGAGACATTAGAAACCGGTACGAATGGCATTACAACATAAATCGTCAGATCTAACGATGAACATTCTTAACAACTTCGCTCTCACTGTACTCCATCTTACGGAATCTGTAAAAAAAGGTATTATATTTAGTAAAAATGTCAGAATTAAAAGTATTAAAATAAATAATAATTTTATCCAATTACTAACTAAATAAATTACACGCTCTGCTTTCAGTTCAAAAAAGTGAATAATTTAAAATATGTTTGTAAATAATTTAATCTCTAGCTTAAACATTCAAAACAGCTACAAACATAGAAATGCTGATTTCAAACACATTTCTAAATTTCTAGGCAAATTTTTTATATATTTTAAATCAGATTTATAAAGAAATTGTTATATATATTTTCATTTTGAATTAGTGTCTGTATTTGAAGAAAAGGTTTTTTAGAAAAATCTGTGAAAAGACTTGTGTGTTGTGTCTATATATATACAGTATAAGGTTAATAAAATTTATTTCTAAATGAATTAAGGCTTTAGAATCATCGTGAACAGAGAATTGACATGATTCCTATAAACGTAAATATAAAATCAACCTATTTTAATAAATACGTTTTTAAAATGTCAAAAATCTAATTTCTAAATTATTTTATGAAATATTAATTATAAGAAATTTAAGAATTCGGATCGAAGAAAGAATTTTGTACATAAATAATTAACAAGTTTTATATGCGAATTTATTAGATTGAAATATTCGTATGAAAAAATTTAACGGAAAATTTTATTCGAAAATTTAAGGACAGCTTAACTCGAACGTTTAAAAGCTTTATTCGTGTAGAAATGAACTTAAAATTGTACGAAGAAAAGTGTAAGAAAAAAATACATTTAAAGTGAAATCTGTGTAAACAAGCCCCGCGCGGTACCGAATATTTTTCCATCTAGCAGATTTCCGTTTTATTCAGGTCTTTTTAACATAGGAAATAGATCAGTTTCGAAGAATTTTATCTGTTTAGACAGGTTTCCGTTTTGGGCAGATTTATTATAAAATATTAAAAAATGAAGTTGATGTTCTTATTTTAAGACACTATAAAATTTCTTCGTGTATAAAATTGAGAGCAGAACAGGGAGATATAAGTTACAGTATTTGATATAGGTTTTCAATAGGATCGAACATACCTAAAATTATAAGAAGCAAAGTTTATTGAACATTCATTTCATTGTATTAAAAATCCAGCAACGAGTTGCGTAACTTTCCCGGCAACAACACTTAAAACTGCGTGTGACGCCATCAGTTAATATTCACGATATTTTATTTAAAAACTTTTTATAATTAATCATTATAAAATGGCAAAAATCTTAATCTTGAAGGTAGAAGAGATAAGTTTTATAAACCAAAAAAAAAATAATAATAATAATAAATAATGTCAATGCTAATAACGAATAAAATTATCATTAAGTCCGACCCCTACACAAGTTGGTAAATGATTTAATGTATAGGCCCTATATAATGTATACACACAGAAATTGATATTCTTAATATATAATTTCAAACAATATATCAATTACATGCAGCAACAGGGACTAATATTTTCTATACATAAAAGAAACATTAGACTCTCTCCTCTTAATCAAAACTATGTTTTAAATAACATTTTAATTAAGGTCCACCAATGTCTGAGTGGATAGAACCAACTACCAGTGTTTAGCGGTTCGCTGCTATACACACGAAGAAAATATTGAATTCACGTGACTTCCGTTCTAGATCGGAAGTTTGTATGTAGTTAATCGGGGCCTCNTTTATTGTCGTCCAGAATATATAATTAGTAATATTTTAAAAAGGAGGGATAGAAAAATATCGACACAATCGTTTTATTTTGTTTGATGGGCGAAAAAGTTGGAGACTGTCCAGTCATAATATTTAAATTTGTTAATTAAAATCAAATCACAGCAGCTTTAATAAATGAAGTAGAAAGAATTCCAAATTTTCCTTTCAGGTAGACTTAATAGAATTTTTATCAAATAGAAAATTCGAAACAATAGAGAGAGGTTTTGTGTGTAGATAGAAATAAAACTCCCATTAATGAATTTTGAAGGTCGGATTTTATAAAAAGTGAAGGTGAATTTGTGTGCGTGTGTTTTTAACTTTTTATTCAAATTTTTGAGTTTTTAGAGATTAAAAGTAATAAAATATTCGATTTCGAGGCTCTTTTTGCTCTGTTTTTTTCCTTATCAATTTATTTTGTCATTGAAATACTTTTTAAAAGTAATTCTTAATCTTTTTATTTCAGGAACCTCGTACTAAAAACGAAGTCGTAAGTTACGAAAATAAAAATTGTATTTGTTTTTTATGTCAAACTGAGATTAAATCATAAATTTTGGAATGTTATTTTTAGGGTGGCATTTTTTTCTACTGTTACATTTGTAATTAAATAGAATATTCTGACCTTAAAACTTAATCATATTAAGCCCACCGGTGGCCGACTGTACAAAACCACCGAATATTTGATCGCGGGTTTGCGCCTCTCCAACACGCTTGTCGCATGAAAACGCCACATAATGGTTTTCTTCACGTTAGTAACACATAAATAGGGACTAGTTTCCCATAAAAATCCTCCCATTCCCCCTCGGTAGATCACCCACATGTCGCGTTACCGTACACGAATAGAATAATTATAATAGCTTAATCATATTACGGTAATATTTAAAAATTTAAAGTCAATATATAAGCCTATATTTAAAAAATTCGGTTTTAAACACTAAACACGCTACCTACACTTCCGCAAATTATGAATAAAATTGGTTTAAAATATATATACTTTTTCTATGAAACTTACATTATAGTATAAATTCGATAAATGTATCTTCTATAGCTTTACTAATCGCACTCGTTTCTATGAGGTCGTTATTAAATTGATCTGGCACGATTTCACCACCAGATGGCCTCACATCAACACACGCGTCGTTCAGAGTCGTAATCAGCCAGCGCCACCAGGCACTGGATGAATTTGATAACTATACGCGTCAATTTTGTGACGTCATCGACTGGCAAATGCTTCGTACAGCTTGTCTGTAATTTTTAACCACGATGCCGCAACGATACTCCAGGTGTTTGTTTATTTCATACGGAAATACGACACTCGAGCGACCTACTGAGGGGATGCCTACCGGGAGGACTTTTATGGTAAACTGTCCCCTATTCCGGTGTTACTAACCTGAAGAAAACCCGGAAAACTTCACGTAGCCAGCCGTTGGCCAGGCGCGAACCCGCGACCAACTACCAGTCTTCAGTAGTTTTATCCACTCGTTGACTGGTGGACGTGTTCGGCAAAGACTACCGGGTGTTCCCATAAATTATTATCTAACACACGCAATTTTTACTTTCCCGACTGTTATATATAATAGAGAGAAAATATGGCAATCGGTCAAAAAGTGACCCCCAGATTTTTATGTTTTTGGACTCAGGAAACCTTGAAACGTCGAGAAATGCAAAAAAAAAAAAAAAAAAAAAAAATCGGGGTATTTCTGTATGTATGGCTATTAGCATGTGGGGGGCAAAATTTTGTTCACGCTGTTTGAAGCTAAATAACTCCTGTAATTTTTGTCAAAAATATCTGAAATTTTGCAGGGAGGTTTGTTTATTAGGGTGATTGATGCTATTAAATTTTGATAATTAAAGGTCGAGAGGGTGGGAAGATAAAGGGGTCGTGTGTATCTCCAGAGGATCAGACACTTAATGACGATTTTACTCGTTATTAGCATTTATAATTTTTTTTATAAAACCCATCTCTTCCCTCAAAATTAAGCTTTTTGCCATTTTACAATAGTTAAAAATATAAAAAGTTTTTAAAATAAAATATTATAACGAATGGCGTCGCCAAATGTTGCCGGGAAAGTTAAGCAATTCGTTGCTGGATTTTTTATATTATATGTGATCAAAAGAATGATAAATGAAATTCTTTTCTGTCTAATTAATATTTAATTGAATTTATTGAATATCATCAATGTAAGTCTACTACTGCTCATGTAGAATAATGAACAGTCGATGATACAGCACTTTATGAATCTGCTAATATAATTAATACCAAATAAAATTTTGCTTAAAAATATCTGGAAAAAGTTAATGTTTGTAACTAATAAACTTAAAATTTAAAATTGTTTAATATTTTTATTAAAATATTAAATAGTTTGTGGCTTCAATTCTTAAGTCTCACTACATTTTATACAGTAAAACCTGTCCAAAACGGAAACTTGCCAAACCACAACAAATATTCGGTACCGTACGAGTCCGGTTTACACAGGTTTTACTATTTACATTCTATGCTACAGTAGTGTAATGAAGTATAATGTATAACAATATATTTCATAATAAATATTGCACAAGATTTAATTTTAGTTACAATGATTTAAAAAAGCGTGTGATAAATAGTATAGTTTACAAACTTACATTTTATGAAATCCATTATCAGAATAATGAAGAAAATTCCGCAAAAAGTAAATAAAATAATTATAAACACAGAATTACAGGAGAAAATACTAGAGTTATTCTTTTCTATTTAATTATTTTTATAATAATATGATTTATTGAATTATTTTAACATAATTAAATATAGGTTACTTTTTATTCCTAAGTTTATTGCAACCTTATTAATGTTATCAATTAAAATAAAATTAAAGGAGAGCTATTTTGAATTTAAAAAACACTGATCTTTTTAAACAAGCTTGTGAAATTATTATTATTATTGGATAAAAATTGAAGCTAAAACAAAACTATTCTTTCATTTTTGTCTACTTACTTCCATTGCTATTTGTCCGTTGAAACAAAGTTATCGCAGCAACATACGTGTACATTAAGAGAGAACAATTCTCAACGTAATAATTCGAAAACTGGATCAAGAAGGAATGACACCATTTCTTATTGTGTCACGTAAAAACTAATCGTGATTATCATCTATTTTACAGAATTGAATTTCAATAAAAAATATTAATGTATAATGTACAAAATTATTTTAATTTATTTAATATAACACTAAATTTCGTTTATCAGCATTAATACAATTAAAATTTTAACCTGGTTCTAGCAATCTATACACATAAATCATACATATCATCATATATTATAGTTAACTTATTAAATTTATAATAATCTTAATATGTGCGTAACTGCTGCATCGATGCTTATAAATATAATAAAAAAATTCTTCCCTAAAAGAGGGGAAAAAATACAAATTAGTCCCTTATATTTGCTTCTTATCAATTATAGTCAAGTTTTATTTTCGTAAAAATCTATTTTTAGTTCATTTTTTAAATATAGAAATCAAAATTCGAAATTTCACTCAACTAGTTTCTACGTTTAACATAAAAATTAATAATTTATTCGATTGGTTTTATTATTAAAATTTGTCGCTCATTTGAGTTTTTAAACGGAGAATAAACTACAAGGGTCGTTTAGTAAATAAGTTTCTCTGGTTTGTAATTTTTTACTACTTTATTGACGCGTGAAGAGGAGTATTTCGGGAGAGCGACATTGTTCCACCACTTTTCACCGTAGTTCTTTTCAACGTTCATGCATTTGTTCCAGCATGACACCAATTCGAATCCTTGTTCAAAGAATTCTGAGCTGGAGGTACTTAACACATTCCTCCTGGCGGCCTTACACTCAACATAGTTAAAAGAACGTGTTTTCAAACAAACTATCTCTCCATGTTGGAAAAAATCGAAGTCGCTGGATACCAAATAATGTTTTCAATCCAATTCAGTAATTTTGGCCTACGTTTGTGCAGAAGAATAGGAACGGACATCATCATAGAGAAGAACGGCACCGACTGAACAGCAACCCAGTATGCTTTCGTCGAATTGTTAATTTCAGTATCGAGTGAGATTAACGGTTGTCCAGGAAATCAATCAGCAGAATATCTATTACATCCCAGAACAGTCGAGAGCACTTTGTGTGTTGATGGGGTGACAATGTTTTTCTTACTGGAAACTTCGCGTGTTCCTATTCCATGGATGCCCGCTTGAATTCTGAGATATAATAATGGATAAAGATTATCTACTGTCACATTTCGACGGAGGAAGCTATTCCTCCATCCTTCTTAATGATACGGCATTAGACTTTCCAAACTGCGAGCCAATTCTCACACTGCATCGTCCATTACGCATCCATGTAAACTTATACGCTAAAATTTTCACGGATAAGTGATGGCCGATGATGTCGCGACCTCACAAACTAATTCTTCCGTCTATTTGAATCACTTCGTTCACTTTTGTAACTGTATCATTATTGGCATTAGTGGGACAACCGGGTCGAGTTCATCAAAAATGGCCCCTAGTCTTTCAGGAAACATCTCGCACTATATTCTCTACATTTGTACGGACATCGTAAACTCAATGTAAACGTCGACGAGTTTTCTGTGGATTTCACTATTTCACTTACTGAACGGTCACATGTCCACGCTTACAGGATCATGGCTCGCGACTCTTCCTCATATAAATAAATACTCCTATTAATGTTTTCTAAATTTTACAAATCACGAAAACTCAAAACATTAGTTTAGTTTGGACACGAATATAAATATTGCAATTCGCTACGTAAATTACAAAAAATCAAAAAATTTCCCATAAAATTTACCTAATTTAAAGAATTAAAACACGCTTGGGAAAACTGTTTTTCGTAATACTTAAAATTATTAACATCTAAAAATGCATATAACTAACACCTTATTCTTGCTGAGAGAAATATAATTTATTCGAAACAAACGTTTTCAGCCTGTATATATTAGAACACCTTAATTTTGCTGAGAATTATATATTTTAAACACAAACGTTTTCAGCCTGATTCACAGGCCATCCTCAGGTTTAGAACAAATTTGAATTAAAGGATTCCATCAATGGAATACAAAATTCAAAATTAAAAAATTAAATAAGCAACGGAATAAAATAAAAATAAAATTAAAATATTAAATAACCAACAGAGTAACATTAAAACAAAAAATATAAAAATGTAAAAAATGTACATAGAAGTATTAATAAATGCAATTACTAACACATCCAATAAAACTACTATTATGACTGGTTAGAGCTCTTATTAAACTTCTTAACTATAAACTTCCATGCAGAGGGAAGACTTTCTGCATCTCTTGCATTTAAACAGTCTTCTTTTATTTTACTCCTATAAATCTGCAACTTTTCCGCTGTCAACGCCAAAGATGGAGAAGATAAAGGTTTTATGATGGCTGCCTCATTCCATTTGACTACAGATCCTNGGCGAACCATAAGTGAATACAATATTTTCTTTATACCGTTATTCATAAGAGACTTTTCCGGCACTCATAATTTACAGTTAAAGCGGAGCCATAGATAAAGAGTTTAGTCATTTATTGTTTTATGTATTTGTACTGTGATTGGTTAAAAGCTTGCTTCGTGACATAAGGGCGCCATTTTCTGGATCAGCTACCTGAAGTTTATCGCAGAATTAGTGTTGCATTTGTGTTTGTTTGTAGTTTTAAAAGTTTTATTATTTTGAAAATATAGTGTGTTGCGCTGACATATAATGCTCAAGACCCGAGAGAGATGTTAAAATGTTTCTTTTTTTCCTCAATATTAGAATTATTGCCAGCTGATTACAGAATAATTCTGTATAGAAAATTATAATTGGGCGACAAGAATATCTTGCATAGAACACGAATTTACTATATTAAACAAGACTCCGATAATACTATATATACACTGTAGGCCTACATCTGTTTGTATACGAGATCATGATGTGAAAAATGATTTACAATACGTAATTCGAGTATGTAATGACAAGTGCTGGATCTTAAATCAGTGATTGGTGTGTAAAAGTAAATGGCTAAGATACACTGGAAGTCTCCACAGTTATGTTTCTAATCTAATCTTCTTATCTGAAGTTATATTTCTTGTCTAACGTTAATTATAAAATTAAAATAATAATAATGCAGCCAAGATTAAAATCTGTATAGAATATCAATGCGCCATAATGCATTATGGCGACTCTCCTCACAGTAAAATTAAGTCAAAGGATTTATAAAACTTTTGTTACGTCCTTAATTATATTTATGCAACTAACTAGAGTTTTCTTACATTACAAAATAATTTTAATTACGATATTAGTTTTTATGTTAAGATGTCAGTTTTTATGTATGTACACTCTCTTCTAATATGCTAAAACTAATTTGTAAATCTTATTATACATAAAATTCTTGCATAGACGTTAAAAATAATTAAGAGTGTAAAATTAAATAACTTTTAAAAATTGTTTAATAAAGCTTTGTTGATAAGCCACTATATTATTTCATTTATTTAATTAAATACAGACAGACATCACGGCCAAAACCTGTTTTTCAGACGATAAA